GTCATCTTTACCGTCGACAGGCTGCTGCCATGTCCCGAATTCCTCTTTTTCAGCCACTTTTGTTGAAATTTGCATTTTCCCAATTCTCTAGCCTTTTCTCCGCCTTGACCTTCTTTTCCAAACATACGGCTTTACAATCAACCAGAAGCAGTTCTGCGCAAACACGCGCAACCAGTTATATCTGATATAACATATCTGACAAAATCGTTTTTATTAATGTTTTTTTTTTCTAAATAAAGCGTTTTAAATGCCATGATAATCACATTTACTGAATTTTAATGCAAATTAAGGCCTTAATTCTATAAAAATAATAATTTAATGACTTTTAATCATTTTTAATGAACCGTCGAAACCCTGCAGCATTTCTTATCATTGTTTCACTTTTATCACGTAAATGGAGGAAATAAAAGAAAAATCGGCTTCAGAAGTTGGTCGGACATTAAGAATCAGTCAGACTGATGTAAAAATAATCAGCCTTTAAAAAAAATCACTTATCAGTCCAGCTCTACAGCTAGACATCATGTTGTATAGGTTTTACACTGCAGTATGGATAAAGAAGCCCTCTATTTTGATAAAAAGAGGGCTACTTAAGCAATAGATACTATGTGCAAAATCTGAAGACAATGGCCATACGTTTTGGTGCATAGCATACCAGAAAATTGGAAAGAAAATGGTTACTTGGACTGTAAAGTCCCTTTTATTTAAAGTGGCCTAAATAAAACCCTAACCTCAGTCCCACAGAACATTGAAAAAAGTGAAGTGTGTGTTTCATTATAACTGAAAATTTTATCTGCTTACAACAGTTAAACTCAAAGATATCTAGACTGCAGAATAGAAAATAAGCTTGAAGTTTTTCAGCAATTTACTCACCTGCAGATAGTGTTGGAGCTGAAAATGTGCTGTTTGCTTGGCAGGAGAAGGGCGGGCAAAGCTGGACGGCTGAGAAAAGGCACCACTTTCTCTGGAATTAGAAAGATAAAAATACCATTCATTCATTTTAAAAAGGGACATACAATTTTTTCCAACAATGGATTCTTACTGCTGATGTGTTGTTGTTAATTTTTTTTTATTATTTTGTGCAGTTGCTCCAGTTTTTGTGTTCATCATTCATAATTCCTCTTCCTACCAAAGGTTAGGAAGAGTAACTGCAGACTCTTTTTTTTTTTTTTTTTTTAAGTCTCTCGCAATAAAAACTGAAATATAAACAAATATAATCTTGACCTGAAAAAAGCATTCTGCTGCCACCTTACTTAGACTTAACTTTGTTTTTGATCCCCTTGGGATTTACTTAGTACAAACGGGGTTAAAGCAAGTTGCCATTAAAGATAAAAATGCAACGGGCAATATAGCACAAAACGTCCTGGTATATGTTTACTTTAGATATAAAAAAATATCTGCACAGTAGAGAGCTAAGGGAAGACTACACAGTAGTTGACTTGGATTATTGCACTTGCACTACAGAGATGCACTGACATAATACATAAGTAAAAATTATACAGACTACACAGCAGTTGGCATCTGTTATTGGACAGTGAGAGAAAAGAATACTGCACATACATTTGCAGATCCCAGCAAAGATTGCAGAGGAAGATTGATCAGACTTTCTTTGCATTGATCTGACAAAATGAAGTATGTATAGTGATGTAAAGTACTACAGGTGGCTGTCAAGATCAGATATATTTTTTTGATATCAGCCAAAAAAGCTATTAACGGGTTATATTGTCCAGCACCTAAAATCTCTGATATGTGCATACTGATGGAAACTCTCTGCTTCTGTCTTAAGTTTCTGTAATTAATTGGCTATAACCTATTTTTATCTGTTTTAGTAATATAACTCAATCAAGCCTTTTTCTAATATTCTACATTATAACATAATTAATAAAGCTATTAATACATTATTTAATATGTATCGGAAATGAACAAAAATTAAATCGGAACACCCCTAAAAGTTAAAATAAAAGTAGTTACTGTAGTAAAAGTGGAACCTATTAAGTTATAACTGAATTACTACTAAGGAGTAACACAAAGAGGCCAGGCTGCTCTCTTTGAATACGACAACTAAAAACAAATAAAGAAGTTATGTGAGTATTTTCTCGCTGCTTCCAGCCAGAGTAACTGTTCATTCATTCTAGAACTGACACACACTGATTGTTTCTGTTTATGTGATTGTTTCTGTTTATGTATATGGGTATATATGTATATGTATATATGTATCTGTATATGTGTGTATGGATATATGTATATGTATAGATTATGGGAGATGTTGTTTTAATGTCCACATAATTGTATTTCATTTGTAATTTTTTTTATTTTATTTCATGTTTTGTTGTTGGACCCCAGGAAGAATAGCTGTAGCTTGCTACAGCTAATGGGGATCCTAAATAAACTAAACTAAACTAAACACACAGGGCTAGCTTCACTGCTAGCTTGGCTCTTTCACTAACAGCTGGCTGTTACCAGGCTCTCGGTTCAGCTTTAATTAGAAAGTCTGCGAATAAAACACCACTCTTATTTTGAGAACGTATTATATCGTTAAAGCGAATTAAAACACGGAGAAAAGAACTATGCTAACCATGCTTTACCTTCGTGGTTGATAAAATGAACGCCGCATTGAACTCCTGTCACTTCCAGAGCGGCTAACACCTTCAGACAATGCGGGTTGCCTTCACTAACAAACAGCTCCATCATGGCGGTGGCAGCTCTTCTTGTTATTAAACTCTTCTCGGGGTTTGTTGTGTCTGTTTTTATTTCTCTCTGAATGAGAAGATGACTCTGGGACTAACTTTGCCGGCGTATGCTGTCCACGCTGATGCAAGCGCTGTTAGATCCACCAGATATGGTGGAAATGTAGTTTTTAGACTGTCAATGCGCCCTACACAGAAACAGAGTCGCTTTTGTCAAAGGACTACATTCCCCACACCCCTTTTCGCATAACACGACTTTATGTATTTTAGGTTGGCTTGTTGTGAGAAATTGGTTCAGCACCGGCGGGCGGCACGGCTCTTCATACATGTACGGGAAACATAGGGCGATTTCGTGAATTTAAATAAACTCACTGCAAGCACCAGCTGCTGTAATGTGATTGGTTTAGAGAGAAATTATATTCACCGATTACAGCCAATCCGAAAGCACCAAATCCTACCCAACTTGAGCTATTTTCTATCCTCTTAAACAACTGGGAGGGGTCTGTCTGTCAAGCATGGGATGGAAATGTCACTTGTTCCCATGAGTTACAGTTAATTTGCAAAAGTGCACGGAGTAGTTGTCCCGCTGCGTCTCCATTAGCCCAATTACGTGAAGTTATTTATATCTACGAGAAAAGGACTGCACACCTATTAGGAGGCATACGCAAATGTGTGGACAGTTCACTCCAAAACATAACTGAGCTGTCACCGCGTAGGTCGCTGCTGCAAAGGTAAGCTATATCGTTTATTTTCAGGGGAGCATGTTATTTGTAAACACTTAACTAGAGAGTGTTTTTTAATTTGCTAAAACAAAATAAAAATAAAAAAATAAACAATGATCTTACCAACAGGATACGGAAATGTCAATCCCTTAGTTTTATTAACAATATAAATAGTTAAAAACTGAAATTTACAACTGTTTCCAGCATGTTTGAGGTCACATTCATTCATTTAATCTTCTTGTCATAATCGAAAGTAGTCGTTTTCTTAAAAAAAAAAAAAGTTGGTTTTCATGGATTACTTAATTTTAAAATCCTGATTTTGTTAAAAATATGTTAACATAAGTCAATATTTCTAGGTTGTACTTTTACTGTTCTGAATATTTCTGAATGTTTTACACATTAAGCTGCTGGAGGGGTCACAGGTCATATAGGTCCTTCATTCAGACTGTTACAACAAAACAAAGGTACTTTTTCCGCTACACATCTTTTTTTCCACAAGATAAGCTAACAGTCCTTCATCTAACAACTGCTTAGATTCAGAAAAGAAACCACACATGCTTTTTTTAACCTCTAAACATTTCCTGTGGAGGAGCATCACTTTAGTTTCCCTTTGAGTCCTTCCTTATAGATGTCATGCTGTATTTTTTATTAACACAGGCATGCATTTCTCCTTCAGACACTGATGCACTGCTCTACCATGATATAAAACTGCAAAAACAATGTTCTCATCTTTTTTATCTTTGTTTTTTTTTTAAGCCACATGATAAGTCACTTTTCATATGCTGTCTTTTGTGCAGAAATATTTGCATGCATCTGCATGCAAACCTAGCCAATACGAGTGTATGGACAGGTTAACCACACGGTGTGATGGAAACTGCTCGCCTGACGCATTGCATTTTTGCTGTTTCATAATCATTCTTAAGTCCTTGCAAAGCTGGAGATTTTCTCTCTTTCTGTCAGCTTATGACGACACAAGCTTGAAAGATTAATGCCATTTGCAACTTTTCTGATTAAAAGTGCCCTGTGTCTTGACTATTAGGAGGAGAGTTGCAGGCCTGCCACAATAACAAGAGGACCTTCATACACTGTGTGTTGATCTAGTGTCACAGATTGGGGCAATGAGTTTATGAAATCATGGTGGGTTACTTGTCAGATTAACCTGGCTCTTTACTTTTACTCAGCTTGACTGTGGGATGAGTTGTGTGGCTATTTGCATGTATGCTTTGACTTGTGTGGGAAAATTATGATGATGATCTCACCTCTTTGTTAAAGCTAGAATCTGTAAAGCTGAGCCTGTTGCCAGTGAATCCTGCCTTCTCTATATAGTCTTTAACTTCCACCTTTGTCATTTTGGTTTGTAGGTTTGTTTTAGTTGCTGTTTTGTTTCTTGGTCTGAATGTGTCAATGAATGAATGAATGTATTTTTGATGGCCTTTTCCTATATTTCTGATGGCCTTTACTGTCTTGGCCATTAGGTTCGCTAATGCTGGAGACATTTTTTCCAGCTTTTCCTCACCCCTTCCCCGCTAAACTATGCCTAATCCAAAGTTCACGTGACTTTCTTTTTATTGTGAAAAGAAATGTGAATAAATCTTTATAACCATTTATGCTATTTTGCTCACTGTGAACCAAACACTTTCTCTTTAGCTGACGTTTTCCAAGCGTTCTGGAGGTTTTAGTTTTTCTGTATGAGTCTGTATTTTCCTCTTAACATGAGTTCGCATCTTCAACCTTTTATAAGCATTGTTTTTCTTCAGTTTTTTTCTTCAGCCATTAAAGCTTTGACCTATGAATCATTCAAGCATTAAAGGGCACCTAACCTAAGGGCTGAATCAGTGCTGTAAAGTCACCAGGTCATGCAGAGTATTAATTCTTCTGAACTTTTCTGTCAAAGTTAAAGTAGCAAATAATTTTTAACAGCCAAGGAAAATGATAGATGATGTTGCATACATTATTAACCACTTTTACTCTGATACCTCCAGATTAAATCCAGTACTATGAATTGTCTTCCAAAGTCATCTGCTACACATAGTCCACCAGTATTGACTTTGTATAATTTTCTTGTTGCAGCACCAATAAGTCTTACATTCTACACAAAAAGAACTTTATTACAGTGTGATAATGAGAAATAAATGTTGAAAAGACCATTGAAGAAATGATATTTTTAGAAGTTTGATCAACTGAAAATATGGCTTATATTCTTAACATGGTGATGGCAGCATCATGCTGTGGGAAGGAACAGGGGATAAGGCCTAAGTTGACATTCACTGTTTAATCTGAATAATTTTTAGCTATTTTGCACATATTACTTTGAAGGGCATGATCTTTAAAGCAGTATAACAATAGAACGTCACTAATGTTTTTATCTTGTTTACGGAATACTTCAAATTGAAGATAACATAGAAAAAAAAGAAGTGATAAAGTTGGAGAGAGTTTCTCATTTCTTGATCCATTTGTTTTTCACCAAAGCTTTATCAGAAAAATAACTTCCCTTGGAGTTACCCAAGAATTGAACTGAAAGTCATCGCCCTGACCTGCTATAAGTTCATGAGTTTTCCCTTTTATACAATGATGACATGTGCATTAAAGGTGAGAAGAGAAGTTAACAGTCAGTGTCATCAGCCACACTATCGTCAGAGTTTCATTCTGAGAAGCTGTTTTTGGTATTTTTACTCGAATACATAAACAGAGAAGCATATGGCTTTTGAGGGCTGCTTCCCCTTCCATAGATATGCAGAGACTACGCATAACAGGTGGTCTCACCAGAGCCTGGATCTGAATATTACTGCTTGGTATCATTTGGGATGAAATACCATCACATTCTAATAAAAGAATAGCCCTAAAGAGAAATCCCCCTCAGAACCTCCATTTGAGAATTTTTAAGAGTAAAAGTAATGATAAATAAATCATTTCAACCTCTGTCTTTGTTTAGGTTGTGTTTTTCCTCAGATGTTTGACTACTTTACTGAAACAGTGCTAAATTATGGATGATGAACCAGTCAGTTTATAGACCGTAAAATTGGGTTAATGCATACATATCTTTCAGGATGGAATATTTGTAGATTTTATTAATGAAAGATTAGATTCCTTTTCTAAAAGTTAAAATAAAGTTACTGCCAGGAGAAGTTAGTCTTTTTAACCCAGACTATTGTCTTGTTGGTTGTTATTTCTTTTTTTTTATTGTCGTCTATAAAGATTTCTCTAATTTTGCATAGCTCAATTTTTTTTTTCTTTTTTCACTTTTAATTTTTTCTTCAGTTTGTGTCTTTATGTTTTCACACAGATCACCTATTAATAGATATTTAAATGTTTCTGTTCTTCATTTCTAAGTTAATATCTTCATTTAACTCTAAGGAAAATTAAGTAAAATATTTTGATGAATAAACTGGTAGGTGTTTAACTTGATTGAGGCCTTTTTTTATTTTTAAATGTCGCCTAATTAAATAAATAACTTCTATAACCCTCTAGTGAATAAGAGAGGTGCCTGTCTGTGTGTTAGCGCCATCCTAGTTGGAGGTTTAGCTCCTTTTCCTTGCGCCTTCAGTCTGAGCTCACTTTGGCTGCACGCAGCTGAAAGTGGGTCTTCAACTTGCTTGATAGCTTTTGACAGCTCACTCTCATCCCCGGTGGATCAATGGAGCTCAGCGCTCTTCATTAGAAACATCAATGTACTGCACATTCCCACAGGCTCAGCAACAACCCAGCAGCTCAGCCAGTGAAATTGTATTTATTTTTTATTCTATGAAAAAAAAAATCATTCAAGAATTATGGCTTATATATTTTTTCTCCAGCTTCATACAAGAGAAACTGCTTGCATAGTTTTTTGAGTTACATTTTTAGCAACAGTTTGCCTTAATGTTCAATTTCAATGTTTTTACATTTGACATTACATTAATTGAATGGATGGATGGATGGATATCTTCTTTTAAGTTGAAGGCCCAATTGGAGTTGAATAAAGACAGACATTAAGATGTGATTTAAGGCACACTTGCAGCTTTTTTTAATATCTATTCTTCTTTAGATCGTGTAAATCCCTTATATTGTCCCACAATGGGGAAATTCACTCTCTGCATTTAACCCAACCCCTTTGGGAGCAGTGGGCTGCCAATGTGCGGGGCCCGGGAAGCAGCCTGGGGTTAAGGGTCTTTGCTCAGGGACCCAGAGCGGCAGTCTGTGGGAATGAGTGGGATTTGAACTCAGAACCTAACCACCAGGCCACCACTCCCCTAGGAATGATTGGAGTGTTGATCCTCACAGACACCTCCTTTGCCACATTCATCTGGTTAGTACCCAGCCATCTTACTGTTCAAGAATGAGACAGGTTATTATAAGCTATTAAGGGATTGTCATTATCCACACGCAGTGAAGGATTTTTTTTTGGGACAAAACTCCTAGAGACTGTTAGAAGCAACAGTCTGCAGAAACATTTGATCCAAGTGTTTCAAATAAGTTATTTTGACCAAATCCTAAAGTTGTGTGATGTATCTATTTTTTGTATTTTATTATAATGCAACATTGAATTAATTATTTATTTATTAAAATATATTTTTTTACATTATTTGTCCATTTGTGGTTTGGAGGGCTAGGTCTGTGTCTTTTTCATGGTGGATGTGGATCTCCTTCCCGGTTGCTTTAGAAAGGACATCCTGTGCAAAAACTGGATCTAAGAAGCCTTTGACTGAAGACATTCTGTCATCAGTCTTATGAAGAGGATGCTCAGAGTTGTCCATAATGTTCTTCATTTTATGAATAATTCTTCTTTGACATATTGTCTCCAGAGGTTCTAGAGTTCCTAGATCAGAGCTGCCTGTCTCTATCAGCGTGTTCAGCTTCTTTCAGTCATTT